TGCTCTGTCTCTCTTACTCTCAAAAATGAATAAATGTTAAAAAACAAATTTAAAAAAATAAATGTATGTGCACCTAATGATGGAGCTTCATAATGCACGATGCAGAATCTGCAAGAGAGAGAAATCTGAAGGTTGATCCAACTGATGTCGAGAGCGCTGTGCTGAGAAACCCCACGGTATACATTCTTTTCAAGTGCACATGGAGGATTCACCATAGATACTCTTGTGAGAATATTTTAGTAGGCCAACATTATCCTGTAGTCAATGATGAGAAAGTATAGACAATTCATGAGCGTAGACAGACATCTCAATAAAATTTTAGCAAGTCCAGCAATACATAAAAATGCTTAATACATTAAGTTCTACTATAATGCAGTATACACGTGTTCCTTAAAAATCACCATGCCAGGGGCGCCTGGGTGGCGCAGTCGGTTAAGCGTCCGACTTCAGCCAGGTCACGATCTCGCGGTCCGTGAGTTCGAGCCCCGCGTCGGGCTCTGGGCTGATGGCTCAGAGCCTGGAGCCTGTTTCCGATTCTGTGTCTCCCTCTCTCTCTGCCCCTCGCCCGTTCATGCTCTGTCTCTCTCTGTCCCAAAAATAAATAAACGTTGAAAAAAAAATTTTTTTTTTAAAAATCACCATGCTGTGGGGCACCTGGGTGGCTCAGCCGGTTGAGCGTCCAGCTTTGGCTCAGGTCACGATCTCACAGTTCATGGGTTCGAGCCCCGCCTCGGGCTCTGTGCTGACAGCTCGGAGCCTGGAGCCTGCTTAGGTCTCTGTGTCTCCCTCTCTGTCTGCTCCTCTCCCCACTCATGCTCTGTCTCTCTCCTTCAAAAATAAATAAAAACATTAAAAAAATATCACCATGCTCTGCAGTAATGCACTTGAAGACATAGGCTTCTGGAGAAAATACAGGCACAAAAGTTGCCTCAGGGACCTATTAGGAAGAAGTAAGGAACATAATAAAAATGGTTTTTACATGTTAAATGGTTTTACACTTGTCAACTGGTTAAAATAATCATACTATACTGAATATGGGCACTATGGCTTGACCAGTCTCTGAAGTTTGTCAAAGTGGGTGTCGGGAAATGGTGGATGGGAAGCTGTGTCAGGAGAGGTGAGTGGGGATGGTCCACGATAACTGTTGAACAGAGGTCACTGGTGCTGAGGGATGCACATTATTGAAAATGTTCTTTCATAGCTTGATTCTACTGGATACAGTTTTTGACGTTCACCTAGTTTGTCACCAGTGAAATCACACGAGCAGATACAATGCTTGTATTATGTTGAAGTTGTTCCCTAGTATATCAATTGTGTTGGAACAAATTCTCACCTTCAAGGCATGTGTTAATGGCAAAGCTGTCTATACATCCTAATGAATGGGGTCTACCTCAGGAGCACATGGGTTTTGGGGGGAGGGGCTTTTGTGTTTTTATTTGTTTATTTGTCGAGAGAGCATGGGGGAGCAGGGGAAGAAGCAGAGGGAAAGAGTGAGAGAATCTCCACGACCTTGAGATCACTACCTGAGGCAAAATCAAGAGGCCAAAATCAAGTGACTCTTAACCAACTGAGCCACCCGGGCGCCACCCCTTGGGAGTGCATGATTTAACATTAGAAAATTAATCTGTGTGGTTCTAAAGGGGAAATTTATGCTGTCATCTAAAACATGCAGTCGCAACAATTCAAACCCATTAAAGATTTTAAAACTTTGTAAACTAAAAAAAACAAGGAAATTTTCTAAAACATTCTTAATTGCAAGTGAAATGATTTGTGTATGTTAAAAATTATAAGGAATCCCAAAACTACTATGTTTAATAAGTAAATTTTATCAAGTTGCAGGTTCTTTTTTTAATGTTTTATTTATTTTTGAGAGAGATAGAGTACAGAATCCAAAGCAGGCTCTAGGCTCTGAGCTGTCAGCACAGAGCCCGACACAGGACTCAAACTCGTGAACCACGAGATCATGGCCTGAGCTGAATTTGGACACTTAACTGACTGAGCCACCCAGGTGCCTCCACCAACAAATAATTTTAAAATGAACTTGAAAAGACCGTCAAAAACAATGGTAACAAAAAACTTTTATTTAATGTATGTTTGTTTATTTTTGAGACAGAGGTCGAGACAGAGCATGAGCAGGGGAGGGGCAGAGAGAGAGGGAGACAGAGAATCTGAAATAGGCTCCAGGCTCTGAGCTGTCAGCACAGAGCCCGACACGGGGCTCAAACCCACGAACCGTGAGATCATGACCTGAGCCGAAGTCGGACGCTTAACCAACTGAGCCACCCAGGCACCCCAACAAGAAACATTTTAAAAGACAGTACCATCCATGGTAATATAAGAAATGCACCATGCTTAGGCTAACTTAG